GTTCTTTCTTTCGCTGAGTTACTTTTCTTGTTAAGATAGCGTTGGCTGAAGGAGGAGATGATACTGTAGCATTGTCGCCGCTGCAGCTGGCTGCCGTATTGGCGTTATACAGATTGGAGAGAAGAAGTGAACACTGTGATGAATTGTTCATGGAAAGGGCAGATGCCTACTTAGAAGCAGTGAGCAATGCAGTTTTTCTTGTTACCGTATTCGTGACGTGACACGACTTTGTCTCATGGTGTTCAATACGGATTTCTATTTATTTGTGGTGATTTAAGATAATTCGGCAACGACGCGGCTGGGCTGTACAGGCTGCTGCATTGTTGGCACGATGTGAGCTGGAGCGAACCAAGAAACGACGAGTAGAACGAGCTTGTGCGCAATCTGAGTTAATCTGTAAACTTATGGATGGTGTGGATGATGAGGTAGATTTATGACTTCAAAGAATGGAACGTTGTAGTTACAGCTGAAATCAGGGTGCCTGTTTTAATTCCCTGGTTGTGTGACAAGACAATCGCAATCCGTCGCGTTGGTGGGCGTCGCGTGCGACACCGCGTCCGCAAATGATAATATGTATGGGTCGCAGAAAATGACAATCGACAACGTATAGTCGAAAATAGCCATAAATTTCTACGATGTCGTAGTCTGCGCTGAATTCGGTGCTGCAGTCGATAGGCTAATGCAAATTAAGAAAGCGCTAGGCGACAAATTACGATTATCTTGAGCGTCTCTCCTATCTCATTCCTCGAGCCTTTCATCGTTTTCCTTCCTGAGGAAGCGTTTCCACACGATTATGTCCGAGTGGAACACCGTCGCTTTAAGCAGTAGAGTGGATTTATCAAACCCTTATTAGAAGCTTGTTCAGCAATTAGCCGCTTCAGTCTAGTGGAAGTTCTTGAAGCCTTACAGAAAAAGCAAATGAGCACCATTAGCAGAACCCGTGTCCCCGCTTTTGAACCGTCCTAACGTGCACTGCCCTCACCGCCTCCCCATTTCACGCTCAATCCTGCAATTAGACAACTCACTACTGAATGTCATGCACGGCTCTCCTTAAACCTCGGCACTGTGCTGATTGGGATGTGTCTTGCCTGAACTCCACACGAGCCTGTTAACTCAGCATTACTGACTTACGTTCCAATGGGATTCGTTCTCCTTAAGAGCCGGAAAGGATTGAAGCGATATGACTACCCGGCCGAACGTCTCTACTCCGTCTAATACTGAAGTTTGAAATCAATGCAGATCACCGCCTAATTGTAAGATTGGGCACGCACTGCAACACAGTCCAATCTTCGAGAACACCGAGCTGACAGTAGAACCGCTTAGACTGTTTCATATTCAGGGGCCTTATTGGAAGGACACCCGTATATAAGGCCTTACTCCCGTGTTACTGTGACGGATTCACTGTATAATCCTCTCGACTAACCTGTCTTCCCATCTAAATTAAATAGCGCTCCAGATATTTGCACGTTAGACGCATCGCCGTGACATACAAGGAAGCGCTCGATCCAAACTAGTCTACGCTCCAGTCAGCTGTCCATTGACAGATACCATAGCTTACGCGTATTGCTGATTGGCTCTCAAGACCATTTATATGCTAATAATCTGCTAATAAAAAAGCAATATTTATATTGCTAATAATTTTTTCAAAATGTTTCAGACTCCGATTGGTGTGAAAGAGAGGCGCTGCGACCTTGTTCTAGCGTCTGGATTGGAGCCATTTTGGGGCGCTTACTCCATTCATGCTGAAACATTGCAGTCTCTTGGATGTACTTCTGTAAGCTCTGCTAGATTTTCTAATCTCGCCTCTAGTTCACTAAGCTAAAGACAGGGTTCATGTTCACTAAGATCACTAAGTTCAAGGGAAGGATGGAGACAGGAAGTCGTTGTTCCTCTCTTTGATGCGCCCCTTCTTCTAAGACTGGGGTCTATCGAGAAAGAGTGCATTGTGATTGACTGTCTCCACCTGTACGTGTGAACTTTGCCTTTGAAATTTCAAGAGTGTGTTAGTTAGCTAAGGCCGTGTTGAGTTCAGGAAGCTTTATTATTGTACGAGAAACTGGAAATGTGGGACAACGTGATCGAATGTTTCAAGCAGCTGGGTCAACTGGAGAAGGTCAGTGCTCCATGAGCAAAAAGTTGTGCTGAAAACGCAGATTAAAAAAATCATAAGAAAACCTTA